TTTTAATTGAATAATCTGTATTCTGCCAGGTATTCCTTCTTCCTAGGAAGGCATCTGSAAACTTACTCTGCTATTTTTATTTATCCTGCCAGTGTAGTATATTGATGAGAGAACTGAGGTCCAATAATGTTAAAACAAGACATGAAATATTGATTAATTCTTTTTTTAAATTCCCTTTTTACTCCAGAGTATAGCAGATTTCAGAAGCTGCTGCCAATACTGTGCTCTCCAATAAACCTCCATTATTGGGAGGGTCTTGATCCCCTTCAGGCCTTGATAAATGCTTATTATGCTTCTGAAATGTTAGCTTTGAGTGCCCCAGGATTGGCTTTCATTGGTTCCTGGAAGAAATGGTAGAAATGACATTGAAAAGTTTGAGTCATAGGACCCCGAAGGAACTATTCCATAAAGGGAGGCAGAGACGGAGGCTCCCAAACTCCTTGTCTTTGTTCCCACCTGATGCTCTTTTCCTTTCCCTAGTGTGCATCCTCCATTACAGATAAGGACTTGCCCTTTGGTCAAGTCCAAGAGACAGGGGTTGCTCATTCCTAGGGTTGTGTGAAAAGGTAAGATAATGCGTAAGGTTGGGTCAAACCTGAATGGTTTCAGATAGACTTATAAAGGAAAGAAGGAAGAAAGATGCCAGTCTGGATCAGGAAAGTCTGAGGAACAGTGAGAAGACAAAATAGGAACCATAGTTAAGGAAAACTTGTCATTTCAGGATCAGGGGCACCTTCAGAGGAAACCACCCTATGCTAGGATTAGGCATGGGAGCCAAGAGTTCTACTGTCCTATTAGGACCCAGGTGAGCTTGCAAAAGAAAGGAATCTGGAAAAATGAGAGAACTGCACTGGAAAATCCACAAAACAAAAATGGTCTCATCCAAAATTCCCAAAGTGCTGAAACTGAGAAACCCTGAACTGGAGGAAAGTGCTATTATTTTACCCATCAAAGTATMAGCTTATTGAGTTCAAAACCCAATAAAGTGACAGTTCTGAATAATTAGCAAAGCATCCTGTGAACAAATAATAAATTCAGCATAATCCAGTTTTCTTTTGAAGAGTAACCTTTGCAGAGTACTCAGTTCATCCTCTGAAATTACCCAGAACAAAAATGATACTCTGTAGAAGTTTCCAGCTTGCCAGGTAATAGGAGAAAAGTGCCTCACAATGTTTCCAGAAATAAGGTATATGCTGAAAAGCAGGCAAAGGAAAGATGTTGACAGCCAGAAATATTGAGAGTGGTAAAAATGAGGATAGTTTGACAGACAACGAGTCCTTGTATTTAGGTGATGGCCTTAAGATATCAAAGAATACGGGTAAACATCAAGGGGTAAAGTTGCTTACATTTTATCAGTAATAAACTAGATGAAATTTCATATTTTAAATGATATGCCTCCAAGCATGTGCTACATCAAGGTGTTGACAGCATCATTTTTTCCAAGGGATGCACAGGTATATTTAAGTAGTTTCCAAGTTATAAGTATCTTGATTACCAAGGAGCAGTGGGAGGCAGAACCTGGCCAGTGAAAGCAAATGATTGATAGCTTCCTGGTAATTCTTCAACCTTTATTTTCCCCTCCCTGGCTCACTGGCTCATTATTCCACTGCATTAATTTAAGCTTTTTCTATTGTACTGAATTAGGAGCTTAAATTCTCTTATCATCCCTATGGGAATCTTGATTGTTTATTTGTGGATGACAATAATTGCTTTTATTGATCCTTAAATGTGGAAGGTATAAAAAGTACTATGGTTGATGGCCAGCTGATACATAGTGGCGTATGCATGACAAAATACAATATTTGGCCCCAGAATACACTGTTGAAGAATTTTAAGCCATTTGATAGTGATTACTAGGTCTCTTCAAACTGAAAAGTATAAACAATTTCAAGTACATCAGCTCAAGTCTTTGTGTTGTTTTATTGAATCCTGAAAGGCTTCCTTGGGTATAGTTTATACTCTTTCTAACACATGTAGTTGCATATGGTACAACTACAAGAATTACTGGAGGCAGGGCCATCCAGGCCAGTGCATTCCTCCAGGGACTCAAAACACCAGCTATTTGTTTGGAAGAATTCCTGGATGGAGCTAGCATTTGCTAGTATGCCATTCAAGCATCTTTGTAAGGACATTTACTTTGAGCATTTTGAGAACAAAGCACTCTGAAGGTCTCAGCATGTACTACAGGTAGGAAACCTCATGCCATTTCATAACCCAAATATATGACAGGCATTAGGGGGGAAAATGCAACTGTCTAATTAAGTGCTGTTTTTTAGGACAGGACACTTGGGCAGTATGAGCCTCCTGCGTCTGAATCAAATGCAACACACATTGTTGGAAGAATTTTTGGGCTAATTAGCATAGACTATCTACCCCGAAACAAAATAAATCAGGTTAGGCCTAAAAGGAATCAAGTATCATAAGTTCTTATTAAGTGGTAAGGTTGAAAGATCTTTGAACAGATGTCAAAGCCTGTAATTCCTGACCCCTTTCCTGTGGTCAAGTGAAAAAAGATAGAGGAATCACGGAAACAGTTATGTCCTATTACCCTTTAAGGACTCCATCTCAAATGCTTACTGTTGAACTCTCAGAATTGACTATCTGGGCTGGACCTGAATAAGTCAGGAGAGCTACTTTTACAGAATAGTGGTCCATATGTCACACAAAGGATCCCCCTTTATCTTGACCTGGAATGCCATCTGGATTCTTGACTGTTGGCAATTGTGTGGAGGGACTGTGTCAGAGGAATGACAGTTTACCCCAACTTATATTTATCCTCATTCAAATTAAGCTTMACCCTTAGTATCATAGTCCAGTTGTGTCGTCTGCCTTGGACAGTCATCTTGTATTTTCCTGAATGGCAGTGAGAAAAGGCAAACACAGAGCTCCTCCACTAAAATTTTTAGTGATTATATCATTGCAAGTAAAACATTTCTGTACACTTTTTTAAAAACTTATATCTCATGCATTTTGTATCACACCCAGCACACAAGTAAGCACTAAATGTAATCTAACTAATGTGATTGCTATTTGCAACAATCCAACATGCACAGAGCGTGTTACTACCTAATGGTTAATGCTTAATCACAGATTGATGATGGAGGGTGATGATCACAGAATCATCTATTTTAAATCTGGAGGAAGATTTACTCATGACTTAGTTCAACCATCTCATTTTAGAAACAAGGTTTACTCATGACTTAGTTCAACCATCTCATTTTAGAAACAAGGACACTAAGACCCAAAGAGGCTGGCTGTCCATAGCCTCTCATTTAAGCAGTGGCAGAGCTAGAATGTGAGACCAGGCATCTCCACTTCAGTTCTGTACTCCACTCGGTACTGACTCTGAAATAAATTGGCCCATGCTTTGTTGTATTGTATTGTGATCAATTGTATTAATGTGTGTTCCTCCTCCATTAGATCATGGGCTCCTTAGGAAAATATTTATCAACAGCTTCTCGAACAGTCAGTGACACATAATAGGATACCAATAAATATTTGTTGGAAAAAAAAATAAGTGGGTGAAGAAATGAGACATATTTTTCTCATTATGTCCAAGCAAATGCTGTAATTTTCAGTGATCTCTACTAGTGCTTATCTAGGCTAGTAATGAAGAAGGAGAGAGAGGATATAAGAGAGTAAAAATGTGGGGAAAGTAGCATGAGAAAGCAAGGAGAGGAGAAGGTATACAATTCCGTGAAAATAATAGCCAGACAAATTCAGTACATAATACCTGCATTCTCTTAGGGAGCTTTTGGTCAAGCATTTGCCTCTTCTGATATCTCCCAGTTTTCAAACTAGCAGATCCCATTATTGATGCTCCTTCTCAGACTCTATACTGCAAAATGACAGTAGGCTAAGTTTTATAGTAAGCAAAGTGCTCCATAGTCTATCTTGCGTTCCTCTGGAACCCCTTCCCACCCACACAGCACATACTCCAGATTTGCATTGCTGCTTCTCTTCCTATCACAAAGGGAAGTGAGTATAACTCAGTGTGGTCCAGTTTCTGGAAATGAGTGGCCCCAGTCAGTGCTACATCTAAAGGCATCAGCTGCCCTCCCACCTCAGCGACTGTGCTTCCCAACTCCTCATTGGACATCCAAGCGCATTTCTATTTTTGCGATTTTGCCCTTGTTGGTTCCTCTTCCTGAAATATTTTTCTCTAGTATGGTCTACGTGGCTTCTTCTCATCTGCCAAACACTCCCATCCCCACCCCCACTCTCAAACCTTAATACTATTTTTTAGATTTTTGCTCCTATTATCAAAAAAAAGCCTTCTCTGACTAATGTTTATAGCACAGTTGCCTTTAAACTTAATCCTCTGGGCTCCATAAAGACCTGAATGGATGTTTGGATAACTGCTAWATTCCTAGCATCTAGAATAATGATTAGCACATAGTAGGTGTCCAATAAAAATGTGTTGATGAGGTTGGTAACATTGTTCTTACAAGGGAAAAGTCCTGTCTCACAATACCTGGAAGACAGTTTAGGAAAATTTTGGGTGCTTCCATAGGCTAAGCCACTCACCTACACTGCACCCCATTTACGCATAAAAATCCAAGAAGCCTTTGAGAAARTAATCTGTCCAGGTAAGCACAACAACACCATTCCCATTCAGTTCCCAACAGGGCTCCAAACAACCTTTAGAAAACCTGCTCTCTGATAGAGAGCACTAATTTGTGTCTTATGGAAAATCAAATAAATTATTTTTCACCTGAAGGGAGCAGGATTATTTGACTTCAGATATTTGCCATATGGTTTTTCTATCACACAATGTAGCTTTGAGGCTTAAGGTAGTAAGAGCAGGAGCATGTCTATAAATTATTCAGAGATAATTCAAAATAAGTGTGCATCCTTGACAGATTGTCAAGTTTCTTAATGCTTCTTGGTAACAAGTGCTATGTTTCTGATGAAGTGTTGCTTGTTTCTCACCACACTTCATTTCTGCTCTGTGTATGTTTTCTGTGTTGTTTTGTTTGTTGTTTTTGTTCCCCCCACAGAGTGCAGTCTGGCTCTTACCTCAGCACCGGGTGGTTTACCTTCCTTCTGGCCATGGACGCCTGTTACGGCATCCACGTCTACGGGATGATAAATGACACCTACTGCAAGTAAGATCACAGGAAATTATTTTTATGCAGCTCCAATTCTGATATCTTGTCAAAATATCACAATTCATTTTAATGTCATAAATCTGAGAAACAGATAAAGCAACAATTATTTCCTGGTGTTCTTTGCTGACATGACATTTTATTGTCAAGTGCATCAAGTTGTGACTTTCAGGGGTGATAAAAAGAAAAATATTTACCACAGTCTAATGTCAAATGTCAGAAGGAACACTTTTTCCTTAATCAGCGTCATGTCAGGGACTTGTAGCTTGGAAATTTGGAACAAGTTTAGAGGCAATTTAATTTGCAAAAGTGAGTTTGTCATCTCTGTGCTCTAATGGCTTGATGGATGGCTATCCACTCGATGGTTATATTTGATCGTGAAGGAAAAAATGTCCTGAAGCCTCAGAGAAACTGACAGCTTAATAAGAATTCCTGGAAAATTATATTTCACTAATAAGTGAGTAATCTGCCAGGTCCTTATTTAAAATGAGTGTGTTTATCTATAGTATATCCTAGCTGGGGGGAGAGTTTCTAATTAGATAATAAAACAAACACTGTGTGCTTCATCAGGGTAATKAAATATATTCTCTACCAACGATTGGCACATTATAACTCAGAGACTGTTTTAATCATATTGTCAAAATGGTAACTCTCAGCCACAATCTTCATGAACAAAATATTTCTACCCTAACTATACATATAGTAGAGCACAGATGAACCCAAAGTCTTAACTGTTGAAAAAATCACAAAATTTCTTTAAATTCTGCAAGAGCATCAGTCTGCCCAAGTTCGCTTCCATTATACACCATTTCCTCTTTCAAAGGATAGCCATATGTTTGAATGTAATTGGTGTGATGTATAAATTTTCCTTGATCTATGAAAGCACTAAAAACCTGGTACATCTTCCTAAAAGCTTTCATACATAATAGCTTTTAACTGAGTTCATCAACAAGAATCATCTATGGGTTTTCAAGTAAATGCATTTACTGGGCACCTAATGGATTCTTGTAAGTGAATGCTTCATTCTTCATCTCAATCTTTCTCTCCCTTTCCTATTTTTTTTTTCTTTTCTAGGACAGAAGGTTATAGAAAAGTCCCCTATCATTACTATGAACAAGGAAGAGATGAGTGTGATGAATATTTTCTTCATGAACATGCCCCATATGGGGGACACAGGTTTATTACTGAAAAGAAAGTGTTTGCTAAATGGGCCAAGAAACACAGAATAATATTTACACACCCAAACTGGACAGTGTCTTGATGTTGGATTTTCTGACCTTGCCACATCACTTGTCCTGATGGTGATATAACAATTGTGATGCTGGTGATGCCAATGACCATGATGGTGATGATAAAGAAGACAGCAATGATGTTCAAGTCCCTGTACATTCTCCGATATGGATGGTGACTCTGCTAGAAATTTGAACCTGGTGGGATTCCGTGGAGGGTGGTTGTACACATTATGTTATTTCTGAAGGTTCAACACTACATACTGCACTTTATAATTTAACTGGAATTGAAATGAAGGCCAGTGATATGACAACTGTGACTTAAGAAATGGAAGATTACCCTTCAAGATAGCTGCCCAGAATTCTTCAACAGTAACTTGTAAAAGTCATGGAATTTGACCTCCTGAAGAGAGATTACTGAATCTGTGGCCTCCGGAGCCTGGGCAGCTCCACCATCTTGAAGAATGGTTAACTGTCAAACACTGTCCCAAGATATGCTATCAGGGTACAAGTATCTTACTGCAGTTTACTAATTAGCCTGAGGAAGGGAAGATATCTCTTTGATTATGACATCTTCCCTCTTCCTGTGGTCCTTCCCAGAGCTGAAGCCTCAGGCCATTACCTAATTAGCAATGAAGACGTCAAGGAAGTCTTACAGATCAGGGTCACTTGACTGTCTCAACACTTAATCTGAAATGTACCAAGTAGCAAATCTTGAGGAATCTCCACTCTGACCACTTCATGCTTACTACTCAAAACAATATAACTAAACATAACATCAGAATTAGTGTTTAGTTATTTTGGCTGAGTCCAAAATATTTGTGAAGGCTATTTAACATGTAAGATACCAACTTCAACACTGTAATAACATATACTGTGAAACTTTCCTAAAACGTAACCAAAGGGTTTCCTAACTCTGCTTCAACATCCAGCAACACAAAATTATACGCTTTTTAAAATCATGAAACAGGGAAAGCAAAGCATATTTTTACATCAATTTGTATCCTATCATACTTCATAGTATATATTTGTATACTCAAATTTCTATTTTATAGGCCCAAGATGTGTCTTTCCATACATTACAGTATCATTGCCAAGTGCCAACTGTTAAACATGGGTGATTCCTTCCTTATATAACATCTGAACAGAACTTTTGCCTTCTTGGGGTTAATTTTCCCCATAGTTTATCAGTTGTTATACCATAATAACAATAATGATGACCTTAATGTCCAAAGTGCTTTGTTGTTTAGAGTCCTTTCCATATCCTATACCATGTGATGCCCGTGACCACCTCACTGAATTATCGCCTGCAAATTCTGCCACCTCTTTTAGTAGTTGATCTGTAATTTGATGATTGTTCTGATATACACCGAATTTCTCTACTTGCTAATATTTGCATAGACTAGCATTTATATAGATTAGTAATCAATTGATTTCAGTGCCAAATACAATATATTATATCAAGGTTATGCAGAAAGTACCATAAGGATGGTCTTGGCCATAGACTAAGACCCCTATGAACTTAAGTACTTTTGATTATTTTCTTTTGTTTGTCTGTTTTTTTAATTGCTGTATTTAGATGGGGAAATATGGGGAATTAGGGACAATAGAAATGAATGAAAGTAGAGAAATAGTTTCCTATTCTAGGTTTAAGAAAACTGTTCTCTGTATTCTTGTTGCTCATTAAATATTAGAGGGTTTATTCGCTGAGACAGTAGCTAGGAGCCTAGATACTTCCTTGCAGAATGATTTAAAAGACAAAAGCCAGGCTCAACTTAAAGAACCTTTAGGAGGCTGGAAGAAATGATGCATTTCACCTCAGGAAGAGTTGGCATGTATTTACCAGTGCTAAATAGATGAGTTATCATTAAAATATGCTGACGTGGTAAAAGCCTCTCTCCTGCTCCTCTTCTGCCACTTGATAACCCACATCCATAAAAATACCCAAGCTCCAATTGCATCATGGAAGTGAATTGTTGTTCTTTGGTTGTTTCCCCATATGATTTTCAGGTCTCTGAATATTAAGATTTTTTTGATGAATAGAAATGTCCACTCAAAAATAAATAGATACAAATGTCAAAAATTGTAATACACTGTTTTTCTCCTTGTTGTGATACAAAAATTCCACTTTTAAATAAAAAGGAATCCTTGATTAATCAGAATGCTTTGGGGAATGCCATGACCTGATTTGTTTCATTTCCCAGTAAATGGAGGGCTGACTCGTTTGTTTTTGCCTTTACTGATGAGAAATTGTTGAGATATGCTGCTCTCTGGCCTCTGTCTATGGTTCCCTGATGAAGGAGACTGCAGTGCTCTGTCTCCTCACTGCGTGTGTGGGAAAGGCAGGCACTGGGCCTGCACCGCAGAGGTTGCTGGCTTGGGCATGTCCTCTCCTCTCTTCTTTCTTCCCCTCTTCCTTCCCTCTCTTCCTCTTCCCTTTTTTTCTTTCTTTTTTTGTAAACTACTCTGCATTTTTATTGTTGTTTTCTTTCATGTTTTTTTTTCTAAAATCGAGAAACAGATTTTAGAAATTTTTATTTTATTCTCAAATTGGAGACCCACTTGAATTATTCTCCAGTGTAATTGGGTTTTGACAGAAACTCACGACTTACTTGCCTCTATCGTCTTAATTTTCTCTGCTTTCATTTACTATTTCTTCTTCTTTAGGTATCGGGTATAGAACCCGGGGACACTCGGCCATGGAGCCACATCCCCAGTCCTATTGGTTGCTTAGCAYCTCATTTTGCTGAGGCWGGCTTTGAACTGGTGATGCTCCTGCCTCAGGTTCCCAAGGTGCTGGGATTACAGGTATATGCCATCATGCCTGGCTCCGATTTTCTTATTCCAGCTTCCTAATTTTAGTGGAAATGCAGTTGACTTTCTCCCATGTGGGGAAGAAATTTTCCATCGCGGATTTGCTGATAGAGAAGTATAAGGCAATTTCTAGACAATTCCACAGGTTGTGGTCAAATGAAAAATATTTCATCCAGAATCTAAACACTGGAATATGTAGATGAACTCGTTCACCACCRAGGTGCACCTATCCTGAATGTTAATTAATATCTGTGAAAAAGAAAAGTGGTTCAATATCACCTGAGACTCTAGGCAAAACTATGGAAAATGCTGTTATTTTCTGAAATCAGTATAAAAGAATGCAAGTTAAAATAATAAATTCTATTTCTAGTTCTGCAGAAACCTAGCAAAAGTAAGTTTTAAAATGATTTTACAATAAATGTTTGAATTCTATCTAAGTTAACATAGTGACAAGTAGTAATGATTTGTATTATTATGATGGTCACACAATTTTACATTGTTACCAAACCTATCAAAGAAAACAAAATTTGGTAGGATTTGGGATGATATTTGAATATATGCTCATAAAGTTCATTTGTGTGGAATATAATTATATGCATAAATGTACATATATACTCATAACTATATATGAAAGCATACATGTAATCCTATATTCTTCACTGATAATGTGAATCACAAAAAAACCCTATTTTAGCCTCCATCTGAAATTTGTTGGGTTTCATTTTGAATCCTATGAAAAAAGCAGAAATTCAAAGTAAAAGTACTGATTGCTGAGAGTACATAAAAACATATTCAGTAGCTGGTAAGAAGGATAAAGCAAGATAAGGCACTAAATCTAGAACTGGGAACACAATTAGATGCCACAGTTGTCACAAATCAGACTTGTAAGTATAGCAATCTGTATCGTAAGGCTCTGCCGATTACAGCTTAGCTAAAATCACATGAAAAACATTGCATCAGGCTTCATTCATGCAGAAGTAAATGAACACTGGTCCCCTTATTCAAATAAGCCAGTCTTTAGCATAAGCAGGACTCAGATTTGCATGATTTTTATTATATAGCTAGAGAACTGTGACCATTGTGAAAAAAGAAAATTATATAAGGAGATTGCTCTTTGAGGATTTGGTATGAATCAGCTGGTCTGGGAACAACAGTCTGAATTGGAGACCTGCTGACCTTCCAAGAAGTATAAAGCCATCAGAAGAGAATCACTCATGGCTTTTTTAGAATAAAGACAACACTGGAGTACTTCACCTGGCGGTGTTAATTRGATGCTAATTATGAGATGAGTTTAATTTTGATAAGCAAGAASATATAAACAGATGGCTTACTTTTTTAAAAAACAAACCCATCTAAGCTTTAAGATGACATGTCAAATGTCAAGAATCAACTTTGTTGTCCAGTTTCAATTTGCATGTCTGAGCATAGCAAATGAGTTAATGCCCCTGGAACACAAGGGAAAAATACTTTGAATTTAACTCCATTTGTAAGTGGCAAGATCTCATTATTTTGATAGTGTACTGAAAAAACCAATGACTGAAGGCACCAGTGCTAGGCTTTCTAAGTAGTCTGAATTTTTAGAGCTGAAAGGTCCTTAAAGACCAGCCGGCCCACTTCCTCCACCTGAGAGTTGAAGACCAGACCCATACAGAATGAAGTGGTTACCTGTCACTAGAGAACAGACTGATGGCAGTACTAAGACCCAAACTCTTATCTCCTGTCTCCTTCTCTAATAATTTTTCTACTATACATTTTTTTTTTCCTTTCAGTATTGGGGATGGATCCTGAGGCATTGTATCGCTGAGCTATATCCCCAGCCACTCCCACACCTACTCCACCATCATCATCATTTTTTTTTTTTAAACAGGGTCTTGCTAAGTAGCTCAGCCTGGCCACAAACTTATGAGCCTCCTGCCTGAGCATCCCAAGTTGCTGGGATTTTTATGGTGTGCACCACCACATCCAGCTCCACTACATTTTTTCAAAGCACGGAATAGCAGCTGGGAAAAAAATGCATATATGTATATTAAAAGAATCTACATTCACGGAAAAACAGACTCCAATTTGTGTTGGTTCTACTCAGGATCAGAGAATCCCCACAAAGAAGTATAAGAATATTTGCATAATTGAAGGAACATAACCCAGTAATTTTCTATATTCTCCATTCTCTRTGTTTTTTTCTAAGACTAGGCCATGTTCTCATATAAAGAAATTCTAGCCAGCCAGGTTGGCATATACCTGTAATCCTAGCAGTGTGGGAGGCTGAGGCAAGAGGATCTYGAGTTCAAAGCCTCACAATTCAGCAAGACCCTAAGCAACACTTAGTGAGACCCTGTTTCTAAATAAAATATAAAAAAGAGCTGGAGAATGTGGCTCGGTGTTTAAGTGACCCTGGTTCAATCTCTAGTACCAAAAAAAAAAAAAAGAAAGGAGGGAAGAAAGAAAAGAAATTCTAAGACTAGTGTTAAAAATAGAAAGATGAGTCCATGAGTTGTTTCTTACTTCCTTTTGGTGTTGAGGACAATTAAGCCATGGATACACCATATTATGGTCTGGATATGAGGTGTCCCCCWAAAGTGTCAATGTGCAGGAATATTTCAAGGTGAAATGATTGGATTATGAGAGATGCAATCTAATCAGGCTATCCCAGTTTGAAGGGACTAGGTGATAACTGTAGGCAGGTGGGACATGGCTGGAGGATGTGACCCATTGTGTGCATGCCCTGGAAAGGTTCAACTTCTTCCCTACGTGTTTCTCTCTCTCT